ATTAATAAACGAATAACCCTTTTCAAACTCTGCATCTGTAATGATTTTCAAATTAAATAAAGTTCGAACTCAAAATTTTTATTTTTAAATAAGATAATCAGCTAGGTACCAATTTTTGGGAGCTTGTGGGGGTGCTAATCCCTCCCCACGCGTAACCGACTCTCAAACCTGATTTCTAGATTTTCGCAAACCTTAAAAACTCGGTTATTTTGATACAAATAAATTATTATTAAAATCACCCGGTTTTCATGGTGTCTCAATCACATCTTAAATGATTGGTGGCGACTCCTCACTTTTCAAAATTCTTTTCAAAAGGAAAAACCCCGAGTCGGTATCAGTCTTTCCCCGCCCGAGCGAAAAACGGTGTCGACAATATAAAATATATTAACATAAAAATAAAAAAAAATTAACTAAATTATAAAAATATATAAAATATAAAAACTATTATATTATAAAAAAACAAATTATAAGTTTTAATTATTTTAAAAAATTAAAACAAATTATTAAGCAATAAGCTTTTTAAGATATTAATATTAAATTATTGAAATAAAATGTAATTTATTATACTATATATAAAAAATTCAAAAAAAAAATTAGGGCAATATTAGCGATAAACCTTTGTTAGGGTAGTTGAACGTTTCATTCGATGAAGTTCATTTGAGGTGATCATATATGTTGTGACTTTAGCCTTTTGGTTAATATTTTATTTTATTTTGAAGATGCTTTGGTTATATTTTATAAATTGTTAAGATGGAGAATGTGTATGATTATGAGGACCTGTAATTTAAATGATTATAGACTGATTGAGTAATCTATTTGATTAAGGAGCTGTTTGATTAAATCAGAATGATTAAGCGCTGAATGATTCAAAAGTTCTGTATGAATTAGCTTTGAATGTGACATGTTGTTTGATAATGGTTCTGAATCATTCAGAATGTACTTTAATGTTGAATCATTCAACAATGTTTTGCTAATCATTCAGCACAATCTTCATTCAGAGGTGAGAATCAAACACACTGAATGTTGAACAGTTCAGCATTCAGCGCTGAATGGTTCCATCAGCAGTAAACAAACAGTCCCTAAGTTTCTAACTATATTAACTAAAATTGATTAGTATTTATTAGTTGAAACTTTATAAATTTATTGTTAGTTTCATACAATTCGTTATATATAGATTTTAATATTCATTTGAATCATCAGTTGACTCGGCAAATGGAAGATGAAGTGCTTTGACGATACATAAAGGTGGAGAGATTCTAAAAGCAGTTATCATTACATTGCAATGCCATGAGGATTCGATCAACAAACAAAAATCTTTAACAATTTCACTTTGATTTGCATTTGAAGTGATCTACAGCATATTGCATGGGCAAACAATTTGTATTTTCAACTATGTACAATGACAATGCTTTCAAGGAATTACAGAATGAGGTCAATGGAGATGGTCGTTGTAATTAAGGAGTTAGCAATTACAACAGCAATGTGAAAAGTGAGGAGAAGGAAAAACCGAAAGCTTAACCCGGAAATCGACTTCAATTCCGGCAGCAGTCCTCGGTCATCATTCCTTTCATACTCTTTGATAACCAGATAGCCGTCTCCTAGGGGACACCGTATGTTTACCGAAAGGCTTCAAAACAACGGAAAGCTCTTGCAATCTGTTTGCTGCAGTAACTCGGCAGACAACTCAAGAAGCCCTTCGAGTCCTTCCGCCCTTTGCCTATAAGAATTGACATCCAAAGTTTCCCTTGCCGGTTTCACCTCTTCTGTCACAGTAGGGTTGGGCTTCACAGGCTCGGTGACTTGGATTTTAGAGATGAGGAAGTGGAGTTCCTAATATTCATTTCTTTAACACCAGGATCATCGGAAAAGTCTGATGTTGAACTTAAAGCTTCGGAGAAGCTTGTTGAAATGGTCACTGGACTAGTCATGGTTCTCATACTGAATTCATCTCTCACAACATCAATGGGTTTTAGAGACCAGGAAATGGTGTTCCTAGTATTCATTTGTTAATAACGAAGGGCATTGAGTGCCTAACATCCTTTCTTTCAGACCAGAATAATCTGAAACATCTGGCGTTGAACTTGAAGCTTCGGAGCAGTTTGATGCAAGGGTCGCTGGACTAGTCACGTTTCTCATATCCAATTCATCCCTCGCAAAATTCAAGGGTTCTGGAGATGAGGAAATGGAGTTCACAATATCCATTTGTTGAATACCGGAGGGAACGGAGTTCCTGTTGTCCACTTCTTTGACACCAGAATAAGCCGAAACATTTTGTGTTGAAGCTTCAGAGAAACTTGATATAACAGCCACTGGTCTAGTCAAATTTCTCATACCCAGTTCACCCCTCACAACATTTATGGGTTCTGGAGATGAAGAAATGGAGTTCACAATATCCATTTCTTAACACAAGAGGGGGCGGTGTTCATAACATCCATTTTGACACCAGAATAATCCAAGACATTTGGTGAACTTAAAACTCCAGGGGAATTGATGCAATGGTCACAGGACTGGCCGTTTCTCTTATCCAGTTCATCCGTCGCAACATTTACATGTTTTGGAGATGAAGAAACATAGTTCCTATCATCTATTTCTTTAACACCAGAGTGAATGGAGTTCCTAACATCCAATTCTTCAACACCGGAATAATCCAAAACATTTGGCCTTGAGCTTAAAGCTTCAGAGCAACTTGAAATAATGGCCACTGGACTAGTAATGGTTCTCATATCCAGTTCATCCCTCACAACATTCATGTGTTCTGGAGACGAGGAAATGCAGTGCCTAGTATCCATTTCTTTAACACCAGAAGGAATAGAGTTCCTACCATCTACTCCTTTGTCACCTGAATAATCCGAAACATTTGGTGTTGAACTTATTGCTTCAGAGAAACTTGATGTAGGGGTCACTGGACTAGTCATGTTTCTTATATCCAATTCACCCCTCGCAACATTTATGAGTTTCCCAACATCCACATTTTGAACATCCATTTCTACTTTTTCCATCACTGGCTGCTCACTGCCAACAGGGAAGCTGCAGTAGTGCCTTGTAACATGCATAACATCGTCATCAAATGCTGCAGAACAAGTAGTGGCTGGTGTTTTGATTGTTGATTCACATGCATTTGTTCCTCTATCTGGTTGTGAGTTCTTCGGGCTAGATGAAATTGATGGGGAAATGCAAGGCATAGTTTCTGCAACTGATGAGAGAGGTTCCACTACGTTGAACTTCTCATCACCACTGGCTGGAAAAGAAAAATTTAAATGGAGCATCACATCATGCCTGCTACTAGGGCTGCCTGCCACAAGTTCATCCAACCTGATAGTGGGGCAATCTTCCCCATTTACAGGGGAATTTTCCGCAACACTTAACCTGCTTGTAGGGGAATCATCCCTAAAACAGCTTACTGGGGCATCATCACTGCTATTTGGCTTGCTAGGGAGGAATCTTCCCAAGCAGTTGGTCCACTTACAGGGGCCTTTTCCCAATACTTGACCAGCTTGGGGCATCATCTCTAATACTTAACCTGCTTATAGGGGCATCATTACAGCTACTGGCCTGCTTATTGGAGAATCATCCCAAGTGCTTGAGCTGCTCATGGAGGGGGAATCTTCCCCAGCAGTTGGTCCACTTATATGGGCATTTTCCCTAATACTTGACCAGCTTGCAGGGGCATCATCTCTAATACTTAACCTGCTTATAGGAGCATCATTACTGCTACTTGGCTGCTTATTGGAGCATCATCCCAAGTGCTTGAGCTGCTCATAGAGGCATCACCCCTACTACTTGCCCGGCTTAAAGGAGTATCGTCCCTACTACATGTCCGATTTAAAGGATTGCCATCCCTACTAATCATCCTGCTTGCAGCCGTCTCATCTTTATGAACAAAATTTTCTTCAGAAATCAGGTTGGGATGGTCCAAAGGGGCACTTGGACTCACTTTTTCATCTACTGAAGAGAAGTGCGCCTGAGCTGGACCAGATTCTTCAGTTGAAAACATGACAGATTCATGATTGTACCTGTAGCTTTCTCTCAAAAGAACCTCAGGCATCTCTGATTTCAGAGCAGGTAAGCTGCATGGTGGATGTGATTCTAAGCTCTTGATGTGGGCGATCATCTGATGCTGCTGTGTCTGTTCTGTCATGTCAATAAAAGTGGTTGTTGCATCATCACAAACCTCAAATGCTTGAATTGAGGTTGCAGATGAGACAGAAGTGCTGCTATCTGTTTGCAACCTCTTGGTAGCTCCACTTAGAGCTAACTCAACATCTTGTTTACCACCCCATAAGCCTTTTTAGAGTAACCATTGGAAGGTTGGTGAGAAATAGCCTCACAATCCTGGTTTTCTTCTGAAGATCCTAACTTGGTTCTGTTACTTGCCTCATTTGAAACATCACTTCCAGCATGCTTCTTTTTAGTGTAAAGATGATCTTCTTGCAACATTGGAAGTAGTTCTGTTTTTAGAAGGTAGATCGTCTTCAGCAACAGGCTTCTCAGTTGCAGGTGGAGGAATCCCTCCATGTCTAGTCTTAGGGGAGGAGGATTCAATAACAGGTAACTGGAGACGAGAACCATGCAAAGTAAGTGAGGATGATAATAACATATTAGATTAAGATTAAACCATTAAGTGGTAGTCATACCTGGTGCTTCAAATGGTGTGATCCTGGCATCGTTTTTGCAGAATCTACTCGTAATTTCACTGAAGCAACAGCTGGTGCATTTGCATTAGGTTTTGAACCTGGAGTTGGAGGAGGAGACTTGAGAACTTTGGGTGATGCCTCTATATTATTTCTTTGAGTCAATCCACATGCAGCTTTTGTACGCCCGCCTCTCATAGGGGAACCACTTTCTCTTACTTGCCCTTCTTTCAAAGTAGTTACTACGCCTTTGATGGATTTGGGTTTCTTTGATTGAACATGAGAAGGTTTCATCCTTCCTTTCATCAACTTTACCAGAGAAACTAATGGGGCAAATATCTTCTTCCTTAGAACTGGAATCTGTGCCAGTGGTTTCATTATTGTTATTGGAATCCTTGTGTCAGTGTTCCTGTGACTTGAAACCGAACTATCTTTATCACTGCATGAGCTATTACTATTCTGACTGTTGACCATATTTTTCCTATTACCACGACCACTGGTAACATGCTTATCCAAGCAGCAGTTCTTCGAAAGGAAGCTAAATGATGGACGATACTTATCAACATATGGCTGCAATAAGGGTGCTTCAAAAGCTCTGATGCCTAATCAAGGTGAAAACTCAAAATGTTACATTGAAGTCCTGCATGTGGAGAATCCTTGGAATTGAGCAAAAAGAAACTTACACTTGGTCGATGCTCTGGATTCTTTCTTAGCATGCCCTTGATAATTGCCTTCCTGATTTGTGTAAAATTAAATAAATTAACAATCATGTAGCAAGGACTTGATTACTTGACAAAATATATAGCACTAATCATGCTTAGTGTTACTGCCAAATTACAGATCACCAAGTCCCTTGGGAATTTAAACGAAACTTCACTATTTTTGCCTTATTAAGGGAGAAGAAATAAATTTTCACGAAACCAATTTAAAAATTCTTACATTTATAAGAAATAATCTGATCAAGAAATCTGCACATTGTTGAAACTTAATACATAAAAGAATAATTAAAGAAAATGAGGAAGCAAGGGTAGAAAAGCACAGTATGAGCATGAAAAATCACAGAGAATACTCGGTTATCATGAGAACATACAATAAGAGTGAGCTCTAAAGTTAATCTTAATACTTACAATGATGGAGAGTAGCAAGAAGGCAAAGGGCCCATAGAGGAACGATTTATCTTTCTTATCAACCCTGCCATGTCCTAGAACAAGAAGTTTAACAAAAATTAATGGAATTAAATTTGTATAATTTACACAGATAGTGGAGGCATACATATGGTAATTTATAGAAAACCTCTCAAAGGACAAGACATCACACTAGATGAGGACAACATTAACTACTTTGAAAGCATTATTTTAAAGAGTGGAGTGCAGAATTCATGGAAACTGTTATGAACCTAGCAAAGGTTTCTACATATTATTCTCAATTCAGATAACCAAAAGATAGAAAGTTCCATTATATTTGGCAATGGGGAAAAAACCATAATGAGAAAAAGGAAGGGAATAAAAAAGAAAATTTTAAATTCCCTTTTAATAAAACGACAAATGAAATTCGTGCTATTTGTTAGAAAGAGAAACTGTGTAAACTCATTACTGAATACAAGAAGAAGATTCAACAAAAACATTTGTGAGAACTCTTACAAAAGCTTTAAAAGCAGGGCGACGAGCAGCCATCTCATACATACAGCACCCTGTTCAACAAGAAGCAATTCAGCTGATATATATATACATGTATGTAAGTCAAACACTCAAGAGAAGACATACCCAGAGACCAGATATCAGACTTGAAACCATAAGGAATATCTGCAAGCAGTTCAGGACACATGTAATTGGGAGTTCCAACCACCTGAGGCACGTACAAAACCACTATTATCTAGCACTGGAACTAAAATAATTAGCACATTCTAATATAAGAATAAATACAAAAATAGAACAATGATATCAAAAGCTAAATAAGTATTGTTCATTGTCAATATAAGGGATTGAGAATACCGAGTTTTAGACTAGTGGTTGTTCTCATACTCATTGGATTGGAGGCTCACATTGCAGGTTTCAACTCCCTCCTCCACACTTCCTTTGTCCAAAAGTGTTGAGTATGAGAGCAAGGATTGACGAGTACAAAATTTAACCCAATAGATACATTTATATACGTTATTTCTTTGGATTTATGATCGATACAACATGAGTGACAGTTAATTTACAGCACTCCAGTATTTAATCCTTGCACAAATTTTAGGCCCTTTTATGATAAATTATTAATACATCTCTACTATCACCAAATGTAACACACTTCGACTAACTACCCAGAAGTCGCATACATGCATATATTTTCAGTTCCTAAGTAATGATGACATACCAAAATATACTAAGGTAACAGCAAATGATCTTTTTTGCTTAGTTCTTTCCTTAAAAATGATTCAGTGGTTATTTATGTTAATCTACTTGGTATTGTTATAAATTTTACTCGGCAATTAGTTACAGTTTGGTCTCGGTCGATAAAATTAAATTAGCACCAAGTTTAACTATAAGCTCGGCACACACTAGGCCTGTTCATTTTAACAAAATATTATTTTTCCAGAAAATGTAACTATGCTAGATTGTGACAGCCAATCTGGAAGAGTGGAATATGTATTAATTACAGAATGTGAGTAATATGCTACCATGCAAGAATTTTTTCCATAAAAGTAAAGGGAAATTGAGGCATCTGCCAACAGAACACAAAACTGCATTTCGAGCTTTGCAGCATAAGCTACTAAGCTTATTATACCAAACTGTAGGAAGATAAGGAAAAGAAATCCTAAAAGAATGATCCAAAACAATTATTTTCAATTTTAGTTATGGTTGAAAAAAGACTAAAAGGAAAATGTATGTCAAAAAATCATTTCATTACAACGTACATACCGAGAAAGCCAAATCATCTGCCTTTAGAGTTTTAGCAAGCCCAAAATCCCCTAAACCAATACAGACAAGAAAGGAATTTAGGATAATAATAGCAGAATAGCCAATTAGGTAGGATATCTGACATAACTTAATAGGAAACATAAAGAAAGAGAAAACCTGTAAGAAAGCAAGAAGAAAAGGGAAAAGACAAACTCACCAAGGTGAACATCTTGATCTTTGGTAAGAAAAATATTGGAACACTACCAAGAAAGTGCTGAAGTCAGTCCATAATAAATAAGTTAATAGAAAGACCAATGTAAATTGACATTCGTACCTTTATGTCCCGATGCAGAACAAAATTTGAATGCAGATATTCAACTGCCAGAAGTAGCTGCGCGAACCACTTGCAGAGCTTCTGCACAATGTTCACAACCAGCGGAATTAACTGTAAGTCGTAACCACCTCCTCTCTTCCACAATTAGGTGAGGACCAAGGAAGCGGAAACCCAACGGGGAACCTTTTACCGTGCCACACAATTCTAAGAAGAAACTAACTTGTAAAATCAATAGGAATAGAGAGAAAAGATTACCTCCTCCGGGAAATAGATCCCATTTGATTTTTTCATCAATTCATCCCTGTTAAAAACAGTTAAACATGAAAATAATAAAACACTACAAATTTTGCAGGATGTCTAAAAACAAAAAACTCCGAATCAAACTTCTACATACAAACATAGAAACTCACATATCTCCACCTTCGCAGTATCCAGTAACAATGCAAACATAGCAACCCTACATTACAATTGCAAAACACAAAATCAACAGGAAAAAAAAAATGAAGCAGTCACAGACTCAACAAGCTACAAAGTGAAGGCAGATTTTGATTCGATAATCCTAGCAAAAAAACAGTAGTCTGGTATCTTACTTTCTCAACCCAGGCTTCCTTAAATTGAACAACGTAAGGGTGTTGGATTCGCGAAATAAGTGACATCTGCATACCACAAAAATGAAACTAGATCGTAAATTGGAATATTAAACTCGCTACTCCTTTAAGGCGAAAACAGATTAATTTGTTTAGATGAAAGTAACAACTAACTTCTTGATGCGCAGAACTCCTACAGCGCTCCGTTTGCCGCGCCAATCTGATCTTCTTCAAAACATACCTATTTTTTTAATAAAAATATTCAAACAATCAAATTACACATTAATTAAAATCAGAAATTGAAAAAAAATACCTTTTCTTTTCAATTTTATGATAAACGAGAATGGCAGCGCCAAAAGCTCCACGTCCAATCCGTTCCATGATCTCGTAATGATCCATTCTCGACTCCATTGCTATTAACTCTTTACTGGATATCCTCTTCTTTTTTTTCTTGCTTTTTCTTCAGAAAATCAAAACAAAAAGAGCAGCGAAGAATTGTTTTGAAAAATCGTTTTCGTTTTTAGACGTTTGTTTTTTCTCCGGATCTCGAAGGAGCTTCCGGATTCTTCGCTCCACCACCAAACCTGCCAGTGCATTCCATCAACAATCAAACGACTCGCTTTGAAAATACCAACATTTTGTCGAAGCCACCGGAATCTTCGCGGACGATCCTAACCGCCTTTGTTTCTCTTTGCTGTTGAATTCTCTAAAGCTTTTTCTCTTTTACTTCACTCGTTAGCATGCAAGAAACAAAACAGGTTTTATTTTGTTTTTATTTTTCATTTTAGCGGAGAGAGATTCTTCTTAACTGAGCAAGACGGATAGTTGTTGACGGAAGGTAGAATTAAATTAAATTAAATTAAAGTATATTATATATATTTATTTAAGCAGTACTCTTCGCCGACACAACAGAACCCGCTTGGGGTCAAAATTTATTCATCTGCTTTTAAATTTATAGATTTTAAAATATTGAATATAAGAAAAATTTACGATACCTAAATGTACACTCTCCCACTAGTACAATGCGTCTTCGAGGGGTGGGATAACATAACTTCGGTACACTAAAATTCATTCTATTTTATGAAATAATTTTGACACAATATTATTGGAGAAATTTTCTTTTTCCACACCCGGTTTAATTTATTTATATTTTCTGTAAATATGATTTTGATGCATTCAAATTGCCCTTAAATGTATGATGGAACTCATAATTGTGGATAAAAAAAGTACAACAAAAAATACAAATGCAAACATTATAAAAATAAGAGAGCAAAGGAGGAACCGAGGAAGTTAGGTTCGGCTTCATTACCTCCCCTTTGAAAATGTAAATAGAACAGTAGAAAGCCTAATATATAATATTTTCCTTTTGTCTGTGCCAACTAATGGTTAAAATAAATTCAATTAGTTTAGTTACTCGAACCCTAATTATTTAAGAAAATAATATTTTTTAATTAGTAAGTGCATCTGATGGATTAAAATTGATTTTTTTAATAATTCCTAAAAAAATTAGCTGATCATATTCTCATACGTAATGGGATAAGGGGAGGTAGGGTAGTAGGCTGCCCCCAACGTCAGGTTGAG